TCAGTGTCACCTCCAGATCCAACACAGATTCCGTTAGGTAAAGTCTGTTTCTCTACCTATAAAGCTTCAAATTCCAAAATTAGATCTTTGTTTCAGGCGGACCTACACTGTAACAAATGATTCTGTGGTGATGTAGATTTTAATTAATGTTTTTGGTTAAAATGTATTCAATATAATTGTGTTTTTGATTTTGAGGCAAATATTTAATTAAATTTTAAATAAAAATGTTTGGAATAAAAACCACCCATTGTTGTTAATTAAAACTTAAACATTTGTATTAATTTAATTCAAATAAAAATGTTTGGAATAAAAACCACCCATTGTAGTTAAATGAAACTTAAGCATTTTTATTAATTTAATTCCAAATGGGAGAGAATATTGAGTGAATTCAAATTAATGTAATCAGGCAAAAGCACTTCCTGTCAAAGTGCACCAGACGGCAGAAGAGATAGCTACGTTAAGCTGCCTACAGACGGTGAATGTTCGTCGTCTTCTACTTGCTCATCTTGCAGCTGGTTGACTAAGGTAAGAAAACTTATTTTGTTTTCACTGGACTAGTAAAAAGAACGCATGTAGTGGTTATATGTAAGGGATAATGTCGAGCGAGGCGTTGTTATGGCAAATAAAAAACCTGACAGGCTGATTTATGACCGACGCGAAGCGGAGATGAAGACGGGGTATTCGCTATAACAACCACCTTGCTCTATATTTTCCTGCTTATTACATGGCTACTTACCAAATAAATAAATAATTTGACACGATTTACTGATTTAAAAAGGAGTTTATTGATTTAAAAACGATTGTATTGCTTCCGCTAAAGAAAATAGTCCGTTCCGTCTCTACGGTTAAACTCCATATGGCGCCGCCATATTGAGGAGATCAACTTTCCCATGCCTCTCATACAGGGAATTGAGAAAAATGCCTCTTTTGTGCGCTGCTTGGGGCTGTAAAAATCGCCACACAACTGAAAACAGCTTTCGAGGAAGTACCTTTCACAAGCAAGACTGAACGTTTGTTTTTGGTTGTATTTGGTCATGATTTAATTAGTAAGTAACGTTTAGAGATTAAATACTACTGTTATTGTGTCACGCAATGTAGTTTTAATAGTTTTTCAGTCGACAATGTAGTTGTTTAAAGCTCAAATATGTGGTTTGTTTATAAAGATAGAGCCTATTTAAAAATTTGATCTGAAGTTTTCGGAGTTGCCGCGCCCCCGCCCAGCGCTCGTCTCCCCCGCCTGGAACAGCCGTACCACGGCCAGTGCTTCTGACGGTTGCCGCTGGCTCGGATGTCTCTAGTCAAGAGGTTAAAATTAGACATAATTCGTATAATTTGTGTTTATCTTTGGTCTCATTAATCTATTAATGGTTCCCTGGTAAATAGTTTTGGCTGAAGGCAAAGTAAAGTTTCATAACTTTATATTTAGGCTATTTTAACAGTATGTTTGACTGAAGCTACTTCTGTTATAATGGCTAGCCTATTACTGATCAATAAAACTGAAATTTAGCACAAAGAGCTAAATATTAAATATATTTTTTGTGTGTGTTTATTCTGTAGAAATGTCTTATTCTATTGCTATTATTATAGAATTATTAATAAACTATTATCAATATGTTTACATGTATTCATTACCATTTTATTTGCTGTATACTATTTGTTTATTTTATTGACTAAACTATTTACTAGTACTTTTCACTTTATAATTACTATTTGCATTGCACTACAGTTGTACCACAACATATGTATTATCATAAATGATCCATCAGTTATCAATGTTATTGCTAAAATCTGGTTAATCACATAAAATGCTTTTTCCACAATGAGCAAACTTAAATATCTCAGTATGGGGATCTTCACCATTCTTATCCAAGAATGTTTTTATCCAGAAAAACGCAGCTCACCCGTTTACTTACATTTAATTACAATGCAGTCTTGACCTCCGCAAAATGGCGGACCCGTTGACGTATCGCAGCAACGTTCCAAAGCGGCCAATAGGGCGTCTATGTATATATTATGTCTATGGATACTGTAGCCTACATAGAGAGGGATATAATAGTAGTAGAACACCATAAATCCCTCATTACAATGGAAGAACATTTGTAGACTACAACAAACATAAAAAAAAAGAAAGAAAAAAACATCAAAATAGAGAAGAAAACAATTTGAGACCAAGGCCTGAGAAAATAAAATGTAATAAAATAGATTTATAAGCTATGAAAACCATAATGAATGTATTGTCTAGTTCTGCTATATGCTTGCAATATACTTCTGACAGTTTTATACTAAGACACTACAATTTTATGTTGCAGGACACTGAGAACTTGAAGGAACAGTTCATAATGGCCATTACTCTGACCCCAAAACCTGAAGCTTCTACAAGCAACTACCCAAAGAACATTGGAATCGTCATCACAGGACTTGGAAATATTGCAGCGGCCTTGCTCTGTCCTCCTTGGCTTGACCTACGCGCTGAATCTCGATTATCACCTTTGTACACCTTTGAGGTATTCCAAAAACGTTTCTTGGAACTGGATCAACAAAGTCCAATCCCTCAAGAGCAAACTTCAGGCTTGAAATGAGACTGTATTGCAGTGCAGACTTTTGTGCTACACAATGTCTTACTTGAGAATTGCACATTGATGTTTGTAAGTTAGTACTGATTTTTCCCACGAATGTCATGACATTTCAATTGTTGTAAGTTCAAAGTACAAATGTATTTTACTCTGTACAAATTGCACTTTAAAGGTCCCATTCTTCTCGATTCCATTTTTTAAACTTTAGTTAGTGTGTAATGTTGCTGTTAGAGCATAAATAATACCTGTAAAATGATAAACTTCATAGAACAAGTAAGTCAATCGGGCCGTTTTTTGGACAGTGAAAACAGCAGTATACAGATAAGTAAATTGTGTGAAAAATACAGTGTTTTTTACACGCGAAACAAACACAATCAAAGCTTAAAAAAAAACATGGAGAACGGGACCTTTAAGGATTTATGGAGTATTTTTATTTTAAGATCTTTATTGACCCAATTTAGTGGCTATGTGAGGTGAAAAGGCATGGAAACAGGTTTATGGACACGTGTATGGCATTTATTTTTGTTTTTACTAAATAGTTTGAAGTCAGTATTATGTCCTTTTTAAATGTCTGGTTTGAAATGCAAGATCCTACTTTTGTCTTAAAATGAGACTGTGAATGCAGTGTACAATGATGTGCTACAATGCGTTGAAAGCACAAAAGTGAATTGTTAATAAAATTGTCATTTGAGTATTTGTTAAGTTCTGTACTTTCTGGGCCATTATTTCTAGGAAAGGAATATTTAGATTTAATTAATTGCATTGATTAACTCAAATTAACTCAACATTTTTGTTTAGATTATAATTAATTCTGTTCTGTTTTCTATTCGAATCTACTCATTTTAAATGGATAACTTTTAAGAGTCTCGTTTAATTAATATTTACTCAATACCAAACCTTGTGAAATTTAATTAATAATATTGCTTGTAATCTGTTGCCTCATTTTTATTGAGTAGATTTGGTGTATCTTTTTTTACAGTGTAGTCTCTATTTCTTCTGCTTCCTTCTATTGGAATAATTTTGACCTTAACTTAGACTGGGGAAAAGTCTGGTCCCTACCCCAGAAGCTTCTTTTAACTAACAAAATTAAAGAAGTTTCATTCAAGTTACTACACAGGTTTTACCCCACAAATGTTTGCTTAAATAAGTTTAAGAATGACATTGATATAAAATGCTCCTTTTGTGGTTTACATCCTGAAACTATATCACATTTATTTTGGTCTTGTGAATTCACTTATAAGTTCTGGAAAGACTTAAATTCTTTTATAGTTGAAAATATTCTTCCTGAGTTCTCCCTGTACTACAAAAATGTAATTTTTGGTTGCTTTAATAACTGTGGGAAGGACAGTAGTGCACTCTTTCTAGTAAACCTAATCTTATTCGTTGCCAAATTCCATATCCATAAGTGTAAATTCAGTAATAAAAAGCCTCTTTTTTCTGTGCAAAAAGCTGAAATGGAACAGTATATTTCTACTACTCTTTCTATGCAAAACAAAAAAGCTGTTAAAACTGTGGTTATTTGTTTCTACTTTTAATGTGTTTATGTGATTAAATGTTTTATTTTTTTTATTATTATTTATTTATTTATTTTACTTTTTTTCTTTTTTACTTTAACTGTACTGTGGATTATTTTTGACATGTTTTATTATTTATTTTAATTTTTTTGCTTCTTTGATTGTAATGCTCTTTACGTTTAATAAAAAAAAAAAAAAAAAAAAAAAAAAAAAGTGCAGATGACAGACACACAACTGGACATATTTCAGCAAATAAACCCGACATACAGTCCGATAAAAAAAAAAAAAAAAAAAAAAAAAAAAAAAAAAAAAACATCCAATAGGAAAATTCAACTGCAGTAGCCACCGTTCAACCTGAAGAGGGCAGCACTAAGAAGTTTTACACCATATAGAACACTTTATAAACAAATGACAAAAAAGTTACTCGAATCAATGACTGGTATTAATAAAGATCCATTCTTACAGATCATTAACTAAGAAAAGTTGGTTAAGTGTTTAGTTACTCCTTAACATTCATTTGTGATCAAGAATTTAAGGAAATCAGTACAAAAAAAACTACATAGGCTAAAAAAGATAACGTTTAAATATTTTTCCAGTCTGTTTATATTTTACTTTTAACAAATTAATACAGGTTTAACTGAGAAAATAAAAATCTGATTAATAATAAACGAAATATTTTGAAATTTTCATCTGCATATTACCATTACAGTAGATGACCACGTATCTAAAGTACTTGTATATAACCAGTGCAGTGATATAAATGGAAACTCCTGCTAATTTTATTTTATTTTTTTTTTTTTTCAAGGGAGGGCATTTATATTTAAAAAAGGACAAGTTTCCATATTTTTCTAATATTTCTTTAATAACAGCGCCACGTTCAGGACACTAAAGGCATTTCACTCAAGAAACGGCACAGAAGTATAACGTATGTTTTATTTGTGCGTTAAAAGACAGTCGAAGGGATTTACATGGTTATGTACATATTACACTAATAATACTTCAACATAAAACTAGTTCAAGTCAATCAATTGCATTTTAAAACTTGCATCAGTTCCTGTGCTGCACATAATGGGGCAAAAAGTAGCAGGTTTATTAAAATGAACATCCACCAGGCAGATGAATCTTTTATTATTATGTAGATTGTTACAGATTTGAACTGCTGATCCACAATCCACAAAACAACCATGAGGATGCAACTGCGAGTGTCTTGTGTTGTGTTGTAGATTTAGGCCGGCGCTGTGAGGTCATGTGACGGCATTCAGCAGCTTCGGCTCATCGGGATAAGCTTCAGCAAAACAATAACTCGATTATTAAATATGAACGTGTCGGTGCGACTAAACGGTACACAACTTTCTGAGAAAAAAACAAAGCAATGGGGTGCAGTTTTAACTCTCTGAGCTGCATGACATACAGGCACACAGAAAATAAATATCAAGCTGCTCAAAGTGTGTACAGGCGACTGGTGGCAGCGCAGGAACTGAAGCATCAGTCTCTTTCTCCAATCTAGGATTGACTGGATGGGATGTTCTGGAAGGGTCAAGGGTCACATGTTGAAGCTTTCTCCACAACCACACGTCCCTTTGATGTTAGGATTGTTGAATACAAACTCGCTGGAAAGCTTCGTTTCGACGAAATCCATCTCTGTGCCGAGTAGCGTCAGCTGGGCCTTCTTCTCGATGAACACTCTCACGCCTGGATGAAAAATACACCACATATCTAATTATACACACAACACACTTCTGTTTAAAAGCTTTTATTTGAAAGAAATTAAAGGAGTAGTTCACTTTTTAAAAAAAAAACTTTTGCTGATAATTTACTCACCCCCATGTCATCCAAGATGTCCATGTCTTTCTTTCTTCAGTCGAAAAGAAATTAAGGTTTTTGATGAAAACATTCCAGGATTTTTCTCCATATAATGGACTTCAATGGGGTCCAAACGGTCAAGGCAAGCGTTTGAGCTTATAAAACTTAAACTTTGTTATTTATTTATTAAATAAGCGATCGTTTCGCTTGATAAGACCCTTATTCATCATCTGGAATCGTTTAAAGCCCTTTGAACAGTTTGCAGTTTGCACTGAAACTCTCATTTGGACCTTGAGCCGTTTGGACCCCATTGAAGTCCATTATATGGAGAAAATCCTGGAATGTTTTCATTAAAAACCTTAATTTCTTTTCGACTGAAGAAAGAATGACATTGACATCTTGGATGACATGGGGGTGAGTAAATTATCAGCAAAAGTTTTTTTAAAAGTGAACTATTATGTTAAGAATTTTACTCAACAAGGATGCAATAAATTGATAAAAAAAAGTGCCAATCAAATAAATGCTGTTCTTTTGAACTTTCTATTCATTAAAGAATCCTGAAACAGTTTCAGCATCAATAATAATCAGAAATGTTTCTTGAGCAGCAAATCAGCATATTATTATTTCCGAAGGATCATGTGACACTGGAGTAACGATGCTGAAAATTTAGCTTTACATCACAGGAATAAATTACATTTTACAATGTTAAATTGTAATATTTTACTGTATTTTTGATCAAATAAACTCATTGGTGAGCATAAGTGAAAAACCTGTAAATAAAGCATATAATTGTAATAATTTGACAACTCACCCTCTTGCAGCACCTCCTCGTCTGATTTGTCTTTCTCTTTAGTATAGTCAAGTGTATAAGTGAGGCCATTGCAACCTCTGGTTCGAACACCAACCTTCAGGCCGATCTGTTGAAGACGGACGACGAATGAGACGGGAGAAATGCAACAAATGCTCATGACGACTAATACGAGAACAAATACTCACATATTCTGGTTTATTCTGTAAGAGCTCTTTGACTTTATTCACAGCTGAAGGCGTCTGGAAATGAAGGAAAGACACTCGTTGATCATTTGTGGGATTGTAAGAATTTCACATAATCATGATCAGAGGGTCATTTGAGATTGAATATGTAACTATTTGCAAATAAATACACTCTTTTAGTTGTTTTCCCCCCAAATTTGACTATAAAGACTATTCAAATTATATTTTATTTTAGCTAAAAAATATATATAACCAGAGGAAATAATGGGACCGTTGTTAGACATTTTCCTATCCTATTAAAATGCCTCCAAAACGTTCAATAATCAAGCTTCAGTTGCAAAAAACTTCTCAAAGAATGTGGACATGTTGAGATAATTGAAGAAATGGTGATAATTCACCTTTATTCCTCAAGGTGCCAGTGTCTGATACACAATTTTGACTTGTGTTTCACTCATAATTACCGTACGCATAAAACCAAAGATGTGTCATGTGTCAGCAAAACTTAAAATGACTCAGCATGACTCAGCATGATTTACTGCAGAGAAAGTACAGTACACAAGTCTAACGTTACTGGAAGTGGATTTAAATAAAGAGCATATGCTAAATGTATGGCTACTGATTGCAAATAGTGTATCACACATAGTAAAGAATGTTAAAAGTGCTTTGACAGCAACTTCATATGTAAATAGCACCAAACAGTGCCATCTGCACATGCGCAGTAACATGTTGCTTTCACTCACTGAATGTATAAACAACCATTTCAACTTTAGCACGTAAATTACACAGTAAACATTTGAGTAACAGCAGTGGAATGATGAAATTGGAAAGATTAACAACAAACCTAAACTATAAGCCTGTTATCTGATCACAGAAACATGGATAAGATCCCGCTGCCCTGACCTAACCCTAACTGCTCCTATCCACCCGGACAGGACAAACAAGTTACGTTAACGTGAATGACAACAACTTTAGGAAGTATATTTGAAGGGCACGACGAGGCACAACTAGAAGGTTCTGGTCCAGGAACTTACATAAACATTATTAGGCGCTTGATACGAATCTCCAAGCATCTGCTAACGGCTAACCTGTCCAAACACTGACCTTCACGTCAAATCTAGCTTAAACAACTCAACCACAAGGCAATAACCCGTTCTTAAGTTTGAATGTCAATCTGAATGTTTTGGAATGGACGACGTTGTCTATTATTATACCGTTATTGGTCAGATATCCGAGCTCTGGCTTCGGCTAAACGCGTCATGTATTCTTCCCCCAGTATTTGAGAACTAGCTTAAATGTTTGGTCGTTCTCGTCTTCGTGTTGAAAACTGTTGTCAATACTCACTCACCAGGGTTAAAGCGGCTCTTGTTGGCAGTATTTTCCGTCTACTAACCGCCCTTACTGTCGCCCGTGCTATGGAGGCTGACATGTTGAAGTTACTTAAGCACTTCGTGTTAGGATGTAAACACCAGAGGTAACGAAAGGAACGCCCTCCTCACAGAACGCACAGGATTGGTTGGTTATTTGATTGGCAGCTTATACAGCCTATGAGTAACCGTTATTCCAGACTTTAAAAGCACCATGTGACAGATGATATTACGCAACTAATTTTAACGTAAAGAGGACGTATTGATTATATGATTATGTTGAAGTACTGAATGATTATAGAAAATGATTATTAAAGTTTCGTAAACGTGAGAGAAAAAGACTACTTTATTGTAATAGTTGCATTTGATTTCTGCTGATTGACATAAAGCCGAAATAAAATATAAATATTAGTTTAATTTAACTAAATGAACATTAGAAATGTTGCCTCGGCAATAAACTGAAATAAGTTGAAGTACTAAAATTATTAAACGGAAATAAATAACTAAAACGAGCAAAAGTAAACTAAGCCTAGCAATATTTAAAAATATATAAAATAAAATTACAACGAAATGATTCAAAAAATGTAACATCAAAATATACAATAGAAAATGCTACTTTTAGAGGTAAATAAATTCTAAAAGACCCCAAAAATAAAAATAAAACATTAATTTATATTTATTTAATTTAAGATAGTGATATAACATTTAAAATAAATAGGATCACACCTAAAAAACCTTCATGCCCAAACTAGTCCACGAATGGGTAATTAAGGGCTGCTTTGTGAAGGTGGCTTGAGGGTTAAGCTGTACAAATCATAATACATCAGATTCATATTTCATAATGCAGTTGATCTGATAACATTGTCAGTTTGTTGTTCTAAAACACTTTTTATGGGGTGCACTAACTTTTCTCATGAATGTTTAACAAACTTTGGTGGTGATACCACATATTAACTGCAGAAGTTAAACACAGAGAAATATGAAAAATATAAAGTCATCACAAAAACACAAAGTGTAGAGACTTCATTATGACAAAATCAATTTATTGTCAAAAAAAAAAGAAAGAAAAAATAAGACCCGAGTTAAATTACTATTATGGAGGGAATTCATTTTGTTTATTGACATTGCAGCGAATGCAAGGTAGGCAATGTAGCCTTTCTTTGAAACATATTCATTTCATTCATCAAAAACAAAATACTGCTATAAATTATACAATAAAGCATAACTAAAACCAAGCCCAGTCGAACTGAAAAGCTCAACATTAGCATCATTGTAAATACAGACCCCAGCTGACACTTCTTTATGTACATTTTTATACAAAATAAAATGCTTCTTAACACACACACACACACACACACACACACACGATCGTGCAAAGGTTTGTTACTAAAACTATTCAAGCTAATTCAAAAACACACAATGGCGCTACAATTTAAATGACAAAGGTAATCAACTGGACTCTCAATTTAAAAAAATAAAATAAAAACAGATAAAATGAGAAACATCAAGTTCTTTCCACAATTAGAAAAAACAGAACTAAAAATTAGACACCTGTAAAAGGCACATGATCAAGGTGTTCTAACTGGGGTTCGGGATAATACTGGACTCGGATCATAAAACCGGCAGCTTTACTTGAAAGGACTCCACTTCTCCACAGACGCAGTGACCGACGCGTGTCTGTTGGCGAGACTTCCTACAATAAGATGGAGAAACACAGCATGGATTATGTGATAACAGGACATTATCAATTTTACATTCACCGGCCACTTTATTAGGTACACCTGATCAACTGCGCTTTAATCAGCAAATCACATGAAGCAACTCGGTGTATTTCGTTGTTTGGTCAGTTTTCGTTATGGAAAACAAACAACAACAAAAAATCATCATGTCATTTCATTATAATTAATATACAGACAACAATATTGTCAAACGATCTCAGTTCACACAGATCCGCGTTTTCTACAGCCAGGCCAGTAGATGGCGATGGCGCTTTGTAAAGAAACACTACGCATCGTTAGACTGAACGCGTAATATCGTTTTCATCAGGGTTGGGTTTTATCCGATACCAGTACCTACTCTGTGTTTTTTTTAAAGCTACACTGTGTAACTCTTTTAGTTTATTCTTAGCTAAAAACACTTAGTTCTTTCAAAAATATATGTGGTCATTAATGCATATTTACTTCGTTCAAGTAATAAAGTATTCTCGTGAGTGTATAATATGCCATTGAAAATACATACGGGTAAGGGGTCCTAATGTCGGTCGCCATGTTGCCCCTCCATCTTGAAAGTACATTAGCCAAAGAGGGACATACCCGTTAATTCAAGCTTCGCCTTTCGCGTTTACGTTTCAGTTAACTCTCATGGACGAGGTCGAACTGGAAGCCATGTTAATCTTGGACTACATTGGCTAAAACGAAATCGGAAATTGAGAGGAACAGGAACTAATAATCAATGGATGGTCATATACCTTTTCACCACTAGATGGGGGTAAAAATTACACAGACTAGCTTTAATGATTCTTGAAACGGTACTTAAGAAAACAAAACCGCACACACTTTGTCAAAAAATAATACCGGGCCAAACTGGACACAATATTAACTTAAAATATAAACACAAGTATCATATGGTAATAATAAATAAACCAATATAAAATAAAAACTCACATTTGCATAATATTAAATAAAACAATATTGTATCAAACAACGTAATAATGTAATATTGACATGGCTACAGGTTCCCATGTTTTGTCTGCTTGAAACAGTCATGCAAGTTATCTGGCGTGCTGGACACCGCCGTCGGTGTGTGAATGAGTGAGTGAATGGGTGAATATGAGGCAAAATGTAAAGCGCTTTGCTGGCCATTGGGTCTGTGAAAGCGCTATATAAATGCAGTCCATTTACCATTTACAAAGACTCAGGTACTGAAATGTTAGTTCTTATTCGGTCAGGTCACTAGAACCGGTTCCCTATTGGTACCTCGTTTTGGTACCCAACCCTAATTTTCACAGATTCACAGTTTACATGGATTACATGGAGACGGTATTGTTTTCACAAACTGAAACCCGTTTTCAAAAGTTTACATTTTCATTAGGGCTGCAACAAACAATTATTTTGATAATCGATTAATCTAACGATTAATCATCGATTATTTTGCCAGCAAATCCTTCAGTTTGGAACAATTATTCAGCTTTTTCAACTAGTTAAAACATTGCTTTGCACATTACACTCTAGCGCCAAAGCGCCGTAGTGGTCAAATCGCGATATTGCACGCCCTTACATTAGGTCACGTGAGATCAAACGACTACTCGACAACAAAGATATTTGTCGACAATTTTTTATTGTCGACTAATCGTTGCAGCCCTAATTTTCATGCCCCCAAAAGCACTGTTGTTGTGTAAATGAACGGCCAAAACTGTTGTCCACGTCTGGTGTGTATAAATCCATAGGATCCCCCTTGCACTCATGTAGTGTACTCACCGGTTTCAGGACCCAAAATCGCCCTCTTTGCTTTGCGCTTCTTTCTCCTGTCCTGTTGAGGACTGTCCTGCAGACACAACAAGTGATCCAATGAGCTGCCCTTCAAAACTACAGTGTTTGTGCATAACATAAAAAGTACACTACATTACCTGCTACTGTAGCGGAGCGGACATGTAATTTTTTTTATTATTAGACATCAAAAAGGATGTATAATAATTCAAATCATGTATTATTAATTTTTTTTAAATATATAGATAAATAATCACACTAAAATATAGATAAAAAAATTCACACTAATTCTGTGTTTTTGCTGGTAATAAAAGTAAGCCATAAAACACTAATTTTATCATAAACTTTTTGTCAAATAATGTGCTGCACAATGAGCTTTACTGTTAAAATTAAAACATGGATTATTCCTTAAATTCAGTTTTGTTTAAAAAATTCATAATTTATCCGTATTAGTGTTAATGTATTATTTCATCTGGACATTTCCTATTTCTACTGTACAACAGTAATATATTTCTGTCAAGTTAAATTGAACTTTTATTTTGACGGGTTGCTTTGAAGCCCTTTGGAGTTTCTGTGTGTTTGTCATGAACGTCATGATGATAGTTTCGAAGCGGTTAAATGATCACGAAGTGACTTTCAGGGTGGATCTAGACTAGAGCCTGGAGAGGAAGTTCAACCATTTCTGTCTTCATATAGGCAAAAAAACAGAGCAAGCGTCACACGTGTGTCTTCTTCAGTAAATAAAACTGCGCGTCAGCTGCACCAGAGCCGTTGAAAAACATATTCATATTTAACGGCTCTGGGCTGCACTATTCATTCACACGGAACATATGATTCATTCGAACAGGATTCGTATTTAAATAGTATTTATGGTTTAATATTCACACACACTAGTCTATATCACGATTTTTATTTCAAGTGTACTGAACCGCTTTCTATTTATTCCTCGAAAATATACAGTAAAATCCTTTTTTATGACTAGATTTCGTCAGCATTTTAGGGGGGGTAGTTTTGGGGGGGCGGGCCGCTCCCCTAAAACAATGGTAGGGGAAACACTGCATAATGATAACTGTGAAGACGATAACTGACATACTTTGTCCCTGTCTGACGCAGGACTTCTTTGGTATGTGGTTGGGGAGGATTCTGCAAAGAGAAATACATGAATGACTGCGTGAATCTTGACCGAATCGCATCTCTTGCTTAATTCCAGCACTTTAAACACTGCAATGAGCGCAGGCACCTAAAGACTTGGACAGCGGGCAGTCCTTCTTGATGTGAGCGTTGGAGCCGCACAGATAACAGCATTTCTCCTCCCTCTGGCGCCACCGTCCGTCCCTGTAAGGGCTGTCGTCCATCATGCCTTTGGTGGCTCTGTTCGCATCACGTCCACTGAAGAATCCATCAGCATTGTCACGTCTTTGTCTTAGAATACCATTGAAAGAAAAATTATTAATGAACAATGAACCAAATCAATCTAAAAGCATCAAATGTCTGATTTGAGAATCTGGGAATCGCCGTTGAAAGTGGATCGGACCGAGCAGCACAACACACTCGTACCCAATCAGCAGTAGGGGGCGTGCCCACTCATGACGGGGGAGAGGAGAGAGTGCGCC